GCAGCTCTTATCCAGAGTTGGTAGAATGGTGTTAATCAAGTTTGTCTGGCAAGCTTTTCCGACTTAGGTGACGCCTTTTCAAGCTTCCAGTTACTTTATGCTCTTTTTTTTTTTTTTTTTTATCAAGGGCAATTTTTGAGAGAAAAATAATTGAATCCAGTCCATAAAATTGAGTGATACATTCACTTACCAATTGACTTATAAAATTAGGTATGTATCAGTTACTCTCTGCTTGGACCTAAACAGGGTCATGGAAAGATATATTGGTGGGGCGGTACGGAAGATATGCATAATATTGATTGGATGGCTCTAGGGTATCTAACAAAATTGAAAAACGATGGCGGGCTAGGATTTAGGACTCTAGAGATTTTAATTTGGCTATGTTATGTAAGTAGGGGTGGTCGTTGCTGGAAGCCAACTACTTCCACAGGATGGGTTTCGTGCACAATTCGAGCGACATATGAAGGAGTAGGGGTGGGCAAAAACCGGTTTCGGTTAAAACCGAAACTGGTTTTGAAATAACCAAAATTTTTTTTCCTAATTTTGAGAACCAAAATTGAACTGAAATTATCAAAAAATTGATCGGTTTGATTATTAATAAATTGGTTTTAAATTGGTTCGGTTTCGATTTTTGATAATAAATAATAATCAATTATTTTGCTAATAATATATTATATTTTATCACATATTTTATCATATTTTATTATATTTTATCATATTTTATCATATTTATCTTAATTTTAGTTTTTAAATGACTTATTTTCGATTTATTTTTGGTTTTTGGTTTTTGAGAGACTCAATCGAAACCGAATCGAAATATATTCGGTTAACATTAAAACCAAAAAATAAAACCAAAAACCATTGAAACCAAACCAAATTCATTTTTTCGGTTCAATTTTCAGGTAAACAATCGGTTCGGTTAAAAAATGCCCATGAAGGAGCATATGGGAGGCGAGGGAAATTTTGAAGAAATGATACTTGAAAAGGATTGGGAATGTTGAAAGCTTTGAAATTGTTAAAATCCCACAAGGAAAAAAAAAAGAAAATAAAGGGATATTTATATGTATTTAAAAAAAGTACATGTTAGTTTTGATTTTTAAAATAAATTAAAATTTTAATTTTAAATGATATTACGTTATTGAATTAAAATTTAATTTAAAATTTAAAAATTTATCTTATTAAATATTGATATTTAGATTTAAAAATTAATTATATTAGAATATATAATTAATTTCTAAATTTAGATATCAATATTTAATAAAATAAATTTTTTAATTTTAAGCTAAAATTT